TCGAAGCAAATTGCCAAAGACACTTGGCATCATTGCATTCATGGTCCATACGATGACCCGCGCCCGTCCCGAATAAACTTCCTAAACGCAAGATTGTCCACCAAATTCAATGGTGGAACAAAATTGTTAAAAGGGGTTAAAACATAACAAAAACCTTTGAGTACAATAGGGTAGACAAAACTCTTAGTTACTTGAGATCAAACTTGCAAAAACACTTGCCTTCTTTTCAAAAACCACAATCCACAACACTTTCAACAAACTCTCAAAAACATTTGAAAACATCTTTTCGAAAAGATCCACACTTTTGTAAAACACTCAATCACGAGTCAAATACATTAGTTGCCTAAGACAAGGCATCTTTTTTCCAAAACATTTTCAAAAAGCACCCACACACACACCATTTTCAAAGCAATCGAAAAACAAGGCAAGTGATCTAAAAAACCAAGTAACTAAGAGCCCATGGATAACCATGGATGAAAAGGGTGCTAATACCTTCCCTTTTCATAATCTACCCCCCGAACCCACGAAATATCTCAAAAGGTTTTTGCTGTGCTTTTTTAACCTTTCCTTTAGGATAAAATAAAAAGTCGGTGGCGACTCTTGCTCAACCGCACAAGTGCGAATACGAACGCAAAACACTAGTCAGTTCTCCCACCGTATCACAATCAGGTATATGAATCTTACCACTTATTAAAGGCTAAATCTTCAATTTTCTAAATAATAGTCACACTTGTATCACAATACTTTAAGTCAAAAACATGTTTTCAAACTTGACAATAATGACACCAGTTAATGTAAATATGACAATAATAACCTTTTCATCATGTATAACTTTTCAGTGTCAACAATAAATCGAACCAATTCAAACATAGTTTGAAATCTGGCTCAATAATGATAACAACAACTTTTTAAAACTCTATACAATTTTGTATTTTGTTTTGAATATTTATGATTCACCATGTTTTTAATTTTCTGCTTATTATGTGTATTTATGTCGATTTAAATTTTGTACTTGTGTTTATTTTTTTGGCATAATTAATCTATAAGTCCCTTAACTTTAAGCGAAGTTTTGCTTTGATCTCCTAACTAAAAAACGTTACATAGTGGTCTCTTAACTTCACTTCTGTTAAACTGTTTGGCCTCTTCTGTTGATTTGGGTGAAAAAATGTTAACTATGGCTGATGTGGCATGACAAATATGTAAATAAACGAGTGAACACTCAACTGTTTTTCCATGTGGATTCCTCTTCTTCATCTCCCTTCTTTGTTTTTGCACTATTCATCCATCTTGATTATTAACCAACTCAGGCCCTTCATCCACATCATCTTCATCCATAGTAGTCCCATATGGTAGTGAAAGTATAGGTTCATCAATAATATCAGGTTACGAAACATGACGAGTAACATATAAATGACATTCCCCAGTTAGAAATGCAATTGTTTTCATCCTCTCAGTCCCTTTATTATTTTCCAACAACACTATATCATCAACACTGAATGTTACAAAATTATCCTTTACAACCTCATCATTTTCACTATCATAGTCATAAGATAATTCATCACCATCATACTCTTCAATGTCACTTAAACCTCTCAAATTCACATCACATTCATTCAGATCACTTTCGTTCATATGACCTTCATTCACATTACATTCATTCATAATAATGGACTTCCCCTTACCTTTAGCCTTGCCTTTTAAATTTCCTTTAGCCTTGCCTTTTGCCTTACCACTAGCCTTGCCTTTTGCCTTGCCTTTGCCCTACCCTTTGCCTTGCCTTTTCCACTTGTATTCACTTCCTAATCATCAACTTCTAACTCTCCATCAATTCCTATATCATTTTACGAGTCTTCAAAGTTGACATTCAAAAGACTATCTTCACTACCCTCTACTTCCACATCTTCAAAATTTACATTTTCTTGGTTATAGTTAACTCCCTCATCTTCTTGCTAGTTACAATTTAGTCCTTCATTTCCCCCCTACTTCAACATTATCATATTGACCCACATTATCCTTAATGGCACAGTTGCCCCCCCCCCCCACACACACATTCTCCTTAATGTTACAGTTTGTCTCCTCTGCACCAACATTTTCCTTAATGTCACAGTTAGTCTCCACATTCTCCTCAGTTTCCTCAATTGTTGTCCCTTCTTCAAACATAACGGTCCCATCTTAATTATGACCTAATTCAGGTCCTTCCCCCACAACATCTTCACCCACATTATCCCCATCTTGATTATTATCCAATTCAGGCCCTTCACCCACATCATCTTCATCCATAGTCATCACATCTTGATTATTACCCAACTCAGGCCCTTCACCCACATCATCTTCACCCATAATAGTCCTATTTGGTAGTGAAAGTATAGGTTCATCAATAATATCAGGTTACGGAACAAGGTGAGTAACATATACATGACATTTCCCAGTTAGCACTGCAATTGTTTTCATCCTCTCAGTCCCCTTGTCATTTTCCAACAACACTATATCATCAACACCCATATCACTGTAACCAAATCTTATTTACATTAGGATAATATATCTCTTTTAATTTGTCCAATATTTCAAAGTAACTCTAGTAATTAGGATCAACATCCCAAATCTCCTCTAACCCTACATAACATGACTTGGTAAAATTAGCAAACTCCCTAGAAAACTCACCAGAACGATGAACATTACACTGAAACTCCTTCTCCATGACCTATTCTACATATATATGATAGCATAAGTACTAAGGAAGTTGGGTATAAAATTTACATTTTTAGTCACTTAAAGTTGAGTATTTGTACCTTAGGATTTCTACTTCAAAGGTTTGATGAGTGTAGTTCATCTTCAATGGGGTTGTGAATAGTGTTGCTATCGCCTTCAATGGAGGTTGTGTCGTTATCATCTTTAATAGAGGTCGTCTTCTATGGAGGATGTAACATTATCGTCTTCAACCACACTGAATAATATTTAAATTCTCTTAAAATGAAATTTGCCTTAAACACCTTTCAACTACTTATTTTTTTATTTGTAATATTTAAATCAATATTTTAAAGAATTTTCAGAGCAGCTTTAAAATGTCCAGTAAGACAACCTTTAACATTTTTTCTTGGCAAACTAACGAAAGAGATCAAAATATATAACAAAATATAAGTTAATGGGCTACTATGTAATATTTTTTTTTTATTTAAGAGACCAAAGCAAAATATTGAGTAAAGTTAAGACACCAAAAGAGGTATTAGGCCTTATTTTTTTAAATAATTTATATTTATGTTAAGTTTTATTTGAATTTGATATTCTTCTTTCTTTTAATGTATATGATTTGATATAAAAGAATGGTGTTTTAAAAAAATATCATTTTTAAATTATGTGATATGAACAAATGAAGTAAAGAGAGTTAGATTCTGCTTGATATGATATTTTTCGAGCTTATAATTTATAACTTATAGCTTACAAGTTTATATGACAATAAAAGATCTGTTTGATAACAGTCTTTTCATGACAAATTTATAGTTTATTTTACTAGTTTATAACTTATTTTTCATACGTTATTTCAAATAGCATTTTAATTTATAGTTTATACCTTATCGTTTTTCTCCACTTTTACCCTTATTGTTTAAACTAAAATTCACATTTATCCTTTATAATTTATTTTAATTTAAAATGAAATAACTATGTATTAAATGTCTTTTATGTTATTTTAATTTATCATCTATTTGAAACGCTAATTTTACCGATACTTCAATTAGCTTATCAACTATAAATCATCTGCACCTAATTATAAGTTATTACCTCCGTCCCTAATTATAAGACCCTTTTGAATTTTTTTCTTATCCTTTTTTATAAGACCCTCTTCAACTTTTAAAGTGCATTAATAACTTTTTTTCAAACATAACCCTAATTATATTACATTTTTTTCCTGTAATTTGTAATAAATACACTTGTATAAACATTGATTATTTCTCTTTCTCAAAGATAAAATAGTAAAATTATACAAATTATCAATAAATTTAATACTCTAACCAACTTTCTTAATTAGCGTGATATATCCTTCAAAATCTTATTTAGAGACAGGAGTAATATAAATTATCAATCATCAGCTATCAGTCATAAACTATAATCTATTAATTAAATTATTTTAGTTAACTAGTATTATTTTTACCAAACAAATTTTTGATAATGAATTTGAAATGGGTCAATTTAAATTTAAAAAAAAAAATCAAATTGAAGTGAAATTTTAATATGAATAAGTTCTCATCACATGGAATATAGTGGAGAAATCAATTAAAATTTCTAGCTCTATATACCATATAGAATATAAATACATATATTTTCAAGTCTTGTTAACTTGTGGAGTAAACATACAAGTTAAACAATTTAAAAATAGAATGATATTATTAAAAATTACTAGTATATTTTAATTTAAAAGGAATATATAGTTTTGAACTTAATATTTCTAAATTAAGTTGCTTAACATCCATTAAATCTAAACACACACATATAACTTTTTTAATAGAGAAAATGGGATAGGGCAAAAAGAAGTGCAAAGATCTAGGTCAGTTGTTGTGTTGTCTTGTAGTAATAATAATAACTGGTCTCCACTGGACACTGACTCAGTAAAGTAAGCAATATTGTCTGCCTCTTCACTCTCCTTCACTGTAAAGTCCCAACTTTCTCTCATTCAACTCTCCAAACCACACATCAATAACACTTTCATTCACATTTGCTATCTAAATCTCTCAATTCAACAACACTTACCTCCCAAGCCCACAAAAACAACCTCAATTAGTTCTACATACCACCAACTCAACTCTCATAGGGTTTCTAGATCAGGTAATATTTTACATGTCTCTTCACTTTTTGCTTCTTTATTCCTATTATGCTGGTTTCTATCTTTTTCTCACATCAATTTTAGCTTAAAGGACATACACTAATGTTAACCTAGTTTATTCTCTAATTTTATTGCTATCTTTTTTTTTTTTTTTTTTTTTTTGGTTTAGGTGATACTGGATGTGATGAAGCTTAAAAATTGGCTTGCAAGTGTTTTGTTGCTCATTACTGCTATGCTAACCACTACATTTGGTAATATATATGCTTCCCTTTTTTATCTTATTTACTTAATCTATCTCAAATTGAGTTTTATACTTTCCTTTTGCATTTATGCTGTGTTAGATTTTAGTTTATTTATTGAAGTAACCTGTTTTAGAAGATTACTGCAAGGGGAAGTGGATATATGCCGGATAATTCATTGACTATATTGCCTTTGTGAGTTGATGTTGGATTAATATGTTGAATTTGTAGGTGCATTTGTGGGGGTAAACATTGGCACCGATGTCTCTGATATGCCATCTGCTTCTAATATTGTTTCTATTCTTAAAGCCCATCAGATTACTCATGTCCGTCTTTATGATGCAAATGCGCACTTACTACAAGCCCTTTCAAACACCAGCATTGACGTTATTGTTGGTGTCACCAATGAAGAGGTATTGAGAATCGGGGAATCTCCTTCAGCAGCTGCTGCGTGGATAAATAAAAATGTAGTTGCTTATGTACCGTCCACCAATATCACGGCAATAGCTGTTGGGAGCGAGGTTCTTTCCACAATCCCAAATGTTGTTCCTGTTCTTGTTCCTGCCTTGAATTCTCTCCACAAAGCTCTGGTTGCGGCTAACCTTAACTTCCAAGTCAAGGTTTCGACTCCACAATCTATGGATATTATCCCTAAGCCTTTTCCTCCTTCTACTGCCAGCTTTAACTCATCGTGGAACTCTACAATGTATCAACTCCTCCAGTTTTTGAGAAACACAAATTCCTCCTTCATGTTAAATGCGTATCCTTATTATGGATACACTAAAGGAGACGGCATTTTCCCTATCGAATACGCTCTTTTCCGACCCCTTCCTTCGGTGAAGCAAATTGTTGATCCAAACACACTGTACCATTATAACAGTATGTTTGATGCTATGGTGGATGCTGCCTATTACTCTATTGAAGCGTTAAATTTCAAAGATATACCCGTTGTTGTCACAGAAACTGGCTGGCCATCTTTTGGTGGAGCAAATGAACCCGATGCTACTGCAGAAAATGCTGAGACCTACAGTAATAATATGATTCAGCGGGTCCTGAATGATTCCGGTCCACCTAGTCAGCCGGACATACCGATTAATACATACATATATGAACTGTTTAATGAAGATAAGAGGAATGGACCTATATCAGAAAAAAATTGGGGCATTGTGTTTATTAATGGAAGTGCTGTTTATCCTTTGAGTTATGGTGGTACTACTGATCAGATAACGGGAACTGGAAACTCATCGGGAGTATTTTGTGTCGCTAAAGATGGTGCAGACAATGATAAGCTGCAAGATGGCCTGAGCTGGGCTTGTGGGCAAGGCGGAGCAAACTGTGCTCTTATTCAACAAGGGCAGCGATGCTATCTCCCCAATAGTGTGAAAAGCCACGCCTCTTATGCTTATAATGATTATTATCAGAAAAATCAAGGTGCTGGTGGAACATGTGATTTTGACGGTACTGCTGAAGTTACTACCCATGATCCAAGTAAGTTGGTTCAATTTATTTCTGTTTTAACTCATTTTGGCATACTCATGTAAGCTGTAGTTGTAACACTTCAGGTTATTGGATTTGAATCTTCTGCAACCACACATTTCACGCATTTACGCAGTCAGTACGTTGGTTTCTTTTGGATTAGGATCAACAGTCTAGGTTTTAAGATCAGTATTTTGAGATTTAAAACAAAAACAAAATCTACTTTCTTTATGCACAGTGCCGATCTCAATGCAACTGTCGTTGATGTGCTGCCTATGTGTGAATGTGAGACCGCAACGTTATTTCTTTAGATGGTCACATATGTGTAAATGTGTACTTTTTAGATTGAACACGCCATCAGCTAAGTATCTAGAAAGCTTATGCTTTTAGAGGAAAACACTGGGAATGGTTTTTATATCTAACATGCCCCCTCGCAGGAGAGGCCTTTGTGCTTGAAGCACAAACATTGCACAAGTCCACCATATCTTGGGCTAAAATTTTACATTTTACTCTGGATGGCGACTATCAGAATTGCCACCATTGCCACCATGTTAAATCATGAAAGAATGATTTAAAGTTTGGGTTTAGTTACCATCATTGCCTCCATGTTGAATTTTATTGAGCCTGCTTCAAGTATAGGTCCTCTTTTGTTTACCATTAGCTTACTCCTTAGGATATTCAAATAGACGGAGTGTACTTTATTCTCATTTCATGACTTTATCAAGTTAAAATTGTGTGTTTATTTATCTTTTCAACGACTGAATAATTTGCAAGTATTTCTGTAGAGAGAGTGAGTGACGTGAAATTAAACCCGACTAAGTATATGGGTCTCACGGTTGACCACTTTGATAAATAGTCTACGCCGGATCAGCACTTCAAAATTACTTGAAATACCACCACAGTCAATGTCGCCCTTTGGAAGTATAAACTCCTGGTCATTCTTATTCTCATGAGCGAGACGGTGACCTGATTAGTACTGGTTCGACAAACACAAGGGTAAACAAATAAGTCGAGTTTTCACGCACTCTAATTTGTTTTCTCCTGTGTTTTTCAAACCGGTACCAACCAAATCACCGGCTTACTCGTCAGGATGTGGAAGATCACGAGCTTCTACACAAGTCGTCATTGGGGTAATTTTGAAGTCCTGATCTACTTTTTAACAAGTAATGATCTTTCAATAATTTTAATCACTTAAATGTTTCTAGCCAATTAATGTTGTGTATTCTGTTTCAGGTTATGGATCCTGTAGATTCACCGGAAGGTATAGATTTAAAAATATAGACTGTTTATCAAAAATATAGATCCACTCTGATGAGTCAAGAATAGATAGATCGAGATTTTCGAAAATCAAAATCTATGTATTCTTGACTCATCAGAAACAATTACATTTAAAAGTAATTGTTTCTCTCTATAATTCTTGACTGATCATGGATTATTTTGATATCAGCTCTGTCGCTGGAGGAGTGAGTTTACCGCCTACAGCACTCGGACCTTCAAGTCCCTCCGGAGAAAGTATGAACCTGCAAGTCTCTAGCCTCCAGTATTTGGTATCTGCAATTGGTGTATTTTTTGCTCTAATGATTTAATGACCAAAAGGTTCTATGCACTGTTAAGATTGCAATTCAATTATTAGGTGGAATGTAGCTTTCATTGATTTTGTTTCTTACTTCATCATGTCCATCTCATTCTTCATAGCTATGCCCCATTTTGTGCATTAGAGGTCATTGTAATTTATCTCTTGTACTATAGGTAGTTGCTTTAATCTAGTGGTTTAGCTCTAGGAGAAAAACTCAAGACTCAATCTAGAAGAATTTATTGACATTGTTCTTTAACAACCATGTGGTGTAATTGTTTGTGGCCACTCTAGCCAACCTCTTTTACTAATTTTTGGGTTGTTTGGTAAAAAAATCCAATTCCATCATTTTTCATATGCCTGTATTTTCCCCCTCCATAGAGCCTAATGGTGAAATTCATATTTTGTTTTTCTGTTCCAGTTATGAACATTCAAATTTGTTTTGCTTTTAAACTATAGAAATATCTAAATGATAAAGTCACGATTTTCATTTTATTTCATTATGTCCGTTATACAAGTAGAATTGGAATTTAAGGTTAATGGAAATTTTGGGACATTTGATAAATTAAAGAGTTGCCAATACTAAAGAACATGCATAATTAGAATTTAAGCTTATGAAAAATTTGGGAATTTTGATGTAATAAAGAAGAGTTGCAAATACTAGAGAACATTGGGATGGGATGACAGGAATGCCTTTCAGTTTGATTTGAAGCTCTCGGTTCAAAATCAGTATTGACAATGTAGTGTTAAATCTTTTGAGGAAGATTATGCGTCATTTTGGCGGTAATCCTGAGAGTTAAGAGATATGAGAGTTAAGAGATAGGATTGACAATGAACCGAATTAATTCGAAAATAGTTTGGAATTCGGTTCGACAATTAAATTGTTGAATTAGGTTTATGAACCAAATCAATTGAATATAAGCGAAAAATTAAATTCGTTAATTAAATGAGTTGAACTTGAATTATACATAGTTCGACTCGTTAGGTTTATGAGTCAACTCGATTATATATGAGAAAGATTATATTATTTTTAAGATTAGGTTTAAAGATTTACACTAAATTTTAGTCCTATATTTTTTTTTAATATAATGATTTTAATTAATAATTTATATTCTCAAGTGAGCAAAATATTTCTAAAAATAATTATACAAATAAAATCAATATCATATAAATTATGTAGCTTTTGAATTAATAGATTTTTGAGATAAAATTAAATTTCAATACGATAACTTTTGTTTTATTTTAATATTTTTCTTTTTAAAATAATATTAATTTAAAGTATCAAATATATATAAAAAATTAGATTTTAAAAAATGAGTTTTAAGTATGTGAAGCAAGCTAACTGAACCTAACGAGTCGAACCGAGTTGTTAGTAAATTTATAACGAGTTCAGTTTGAGTTTTAAAAAAGTTCGACTTCAACTCGAACTCGTAATTAAGTTGATCTAATTTTTAACGAGTTGAGCTGAGCTGAGGCAAGTTCGAATCGACTCATTTCCAGTCCTATGAGAGACAAACAGTTTCAATATTTGATGGCTTGTGTGGTTTCTCAACCGGTACTTTTAATGTTTTGAATACTCTTAGATGGGAGACCATAGCCTATATATAATGTGATGGTCAATTATGGTTCTCATTATTCTCAAATAGACAATCCTGACATCCACTTATATTTGAGTCCATACCTAATTATTTAATTAATTAATTAATTAATTTTTAAATAAAATCTAAATAGTCTTTTAACATTATTTGATCACATAATTATTTAAGCCTATTTATTTGATAAAATAACTAATATAATTAAATAAATATATTTGGCCACATAATTATTAGAATACTAATATAAGACTAAATTATTAAAATATTTCAACAATCTCCTACTTGGCCAAAATATCTTAATAATTATATATCATAATTCTTTAGGCGCGTATCCGAATGCTATTTATCTTTAGATTTTAAATTTACATTTTGGTCCACCTCATACATCAATAATGAGACTATTACGATTGTCGTCACTAACGTATAACGCACGAGGATAGTCATCCCAGAACGATCAGAAGTCGCGCCTGCCCCCATTAAGAGCTACCTCCAAGTCAGTTCGATACACGTAGAACAGACAACCAGAAAAATGCTCACAACGCATCCTGCCTGTAACCTCTTCCTTGTCCGGATCAACGACTAGTTACGAGCAGACTGTCCGTTTTGACTAAGTCTTGACAATTACCTATTTTAAAGGAATCTAATATCTAAGCCTAAAAATAGGAACCAATGGCCAAGTGTCGGGGTATTATATAAGCCCTCACACTTGTGAGGGCCAAGTATTCAATATTCACTCTAAAAACCATAATCTATGTCTTGTATCTCTTTGCACTCATTTTTACTTGATCGTCGAAGTGCCTTTCAAGTACACCTCCTTCTCTCTTCAAATTTTCAGCTTAGCAAACATCATCTTTTGGTCCACTTTTAGGTTCTGATCAACCGGTAAGATCAGCGGTGCTGTTTGTGGCGACATTCAAAGACTCATATCATGGACAATCATGACGACAACCATCTTTCTAGAAAAACCATCCTTTCCCCTATCTGCAAGACAAACGAAAACGAAGAGCCTTCTCGCCTCGAGGATATCCCTGACACCAGAGACGGTCGACTGCGTCCCCTGACTCGGTCGACGCAGATCACGATGATATTCAACTCTTGAATAATCAGAAGTCTAATAAATCTATCGAGAAGCCACCGACGATCCTCCATCAAGTTCCAACTTCACCCAACGTCGACCCGACCATGGTGGCTTTGCTCACAGCTCTCAACTAAACTAATACCCTAATCCTACAATAAAGCAACACGATTAGAGCTTGGAAGAAGAAGCGCCAGTCAAGATCTCCTCCTCAGAGATACCGACGACATGACTCCCGCAACCCTTCATCGTTAAGGTGTGGCCGCTGTCCCACGCAAGAGAAAAAAGAAATCTCGTTTCTCAAGAAAAAGGTTGCACCCATCCCCGGAAAGATCGACGTTCCCCGATCACCAAGAAGATGAAGGGTAGTCTACCGCCAGATGACAAGCGTTCACCATCACCCAAGCTGAAGCGCCACCAGAGGAGCATCTCTCCCCGTCAGGATGGCAGCCCCCGGCGGGGAAGAAACAACTACTCTTCGCCAGCATCTTCTGATCGCATCGATGACGATGAGCCCTACGGCCCGTTATCCAGAGAGATCATGGAGACCCCACTTTCTATCGGCCTAGAGAAGCCCCCACACCTGGGAACTATGATGGTACAACAGATCTTGGTGAACACATCGAGAACATCAATGCTTTGCTTGACTACAGAGGATGTCGAGGAGTAATCAAATGCTGACTCTTCCCGACAACACTCAGAAAGGGAGCTATGGCTTACTACAAGAGCCTCCCCGATGAGTCTATTACTTCTTGGAAGGTCTTGGGGAGACAATTCTCCAGAAATTTTATAGCATCTCGCCGACACCCCAAATCAGAAGCTGCGCTGGAGGCAATCATCCAGAGGAAGGATGAGTTCCTCCGAGTGTATATTGAAAGGTTCAATCAAGAAGTCATCCATGTCTCCACGACGAACGAGATGAAGAAATATCTCCTCGAGTGAGACTTACGCTCTCGTAGTGACTTTGCCAAAGAAATTGACATAGAATCCTACAACGCTGGATTCTCTCCCGCTCAAAGCACATGGGTACATTCAGTACAAGGAGAAAGAGGTCGCTAAAAACGCGAGAGACTCGCAGCATTGTGAGAATGCAAAAGTTTTAAAGAATGATGAGCCCTCGACATCCCTTCAGGGAGAATAGAAGAAAAGGGAGGACAAATCCTATGATTCAAGAGACTACAAGGGGCCCGCTGGTCATTTCCACGACTACATTCCCCTTAATGTTTCACACGAGCATATTCTGACATAATGTGTAAACTCAGAGTTCCGACAAGCTAGAGTTTGCTTTCCCCGAAAAACACCGTCCAAACCAGGGACATATAAAAGCAAGTAATGTCGGTTTCATAAAAGTCACAGTTACAATATAGAAGAATGCATTCACCTGAAGGATGTCATCAAGATACTCATTCGAGATGGATATGTCAAACAATATTAAAATTCTGGTATTCAAATCAAAGATGTCCTAAGAGATGTCGAGACATCTTCTATTAAACTTGCACACAATGAATAATATTAATGATAAACATAGTGCAGAAAAGTAAAGAACACACATAATTATTAACCTAGTTCGGTGACTCACACATACTCTTGGGGCTGCCAAGCCAGGGACCAAGTTAGTCTGATAGTATCAATTCGTAGACCCACAAAAAACGTTCACCTAGTTCAAAATCTACCCACTTAATCACTACCCTTTCTTAACTTCTACCTAAGACTCACTTAAGTATGAGACCCTTCTCAAATCCATTCCAATCACAGTCACAGTGATCGACCAATTCTAACACGTAGAACAAACACCAAAGTCACACTTCAAAGACACATAATCATTCACTTCTTTAAAGCTATAAACTATAAACTTATGATGAAAAGACTGTTATCAAACAAGTCTTTTATTATCATACGAGTATATAAGCTATAAGCTATAAACTATAAACTCAAAATGTGACTAGCCAAACATAGTATTACCATTGTTTTTTATCAACTTTCATTTTTAACTTTCTACACTGTCAAATTGTCATATATACAAAATAGGAGAAAACTTAGTAACCAAGAATTCTACTTCAAAATTTTCCCTTAAGAACTCCCTCTCAAATTTCACTCATCCTCTATAAAAACAAGCCTTAACAGACATAAACAGGGGAAGAGAAAAAGTTTAGAAAGATTCCACTCAAAATTATTCTCTTTGCTCAACTTAACCTTTTAACCATCCTTATTCTACCTCTAAACTCCACTATAAACCACAAGCATCACCATGTGGTAACTCAGCCGAAAATCTTCTCCATCCAGCAAACTCAAAATTCAAGCACCATCACAAGTGGCTGATCACACCAAGCGTCTTCCTCCCGAGTGTATCACGACCTCACTGGAGCTCCAATTAACATCGTATATCACGACGCAACCGCCTAACCTCTGTGATTTTGACTGTGACCGCACCACACACCACTAATCCGTAAACACATCACCTTTCGGTTAGAACACCCTTTCGTGCGCATCTGCTCTGAAATTGGTAAGTGCACAAGAATCAATGATGAACAAAGAATGAATGTAAGAGAGCAAAGAGAATGACGACTGTAAAAGTTGCAGGAGGAATAACTGTTGTTGTTTATGAAATTTATAACTAGTCTATTTATACACAAACAAGAAGAATGCCACATAGGCCCTAATAGAATAAACTTAATGACTAAGTTATCAAAACAACTAGAAATACTAAAATACCCTTTAGTACCATCCCTTAATTTAGAATTTCTAATTAAAAACTAACTACACCAATTCCATTCCTTAAGCAAAGAAATTGATCCCTCTTGATTGCCTTTGTCATGATATCTGTCAGCTGTTTCTGGGTGCTACAGTGCATAACTTCTAGTACTCTGTTATGGACTTGGCTTCTCAGAAAATGATAATTTGTCTCAATATGCTTGCTTCTCCCATGCAGTACTGGGTTCTTGGCAAGATTGATTGCAGACTTGTCATCAATCATTAACTTCAGAGGCATATCTATGTTGATCTTCATATCCTGCAAAAAATTTAGAAGCCACACAATTTGACATGTAACTATAGCACTTGCAATGTACTCAGCTTCACACGTTGATAGAGCAACAGTGAATTGCTTCTTGGAACACAAAAAAATAGGACCTCCCAAAAACTTAAACAAGTATTCAAAAGTACTTCTTCTATCAACTTTATCTCCACACCAATCAGAATCAGAGTAACTCATCAATTTTGAATCTATTTTTCTTCCAGAAGAAAATAGTACTCTAAACTTCAGAGTTCCCTTGATATACCTCAGAATCCTGATAGCAGCTTAGTAATGAGACCACTTAGGTTTACTCATGAACCTACTAACCAATCCAACTGTATAACAAATATAAGGTCTGGTATTACATAAGTATCTTAGAGAACCAACCAAGTGTTTGAAGGTTGTAACACCCACATCTTCACCATCAGAGTCAGAATCCAATTTATGATTGGTGTTTGATGGTGTCACGACAACCTTGCAATTTTGTAGCTTAAATTTCTTCAGAAGCTCAAGTTCATACTTTAGCTGATGCAAAATGATACCTGTAACGCTCCATTTCTATCCGACGGATAATAATAAAATCAGATTTCAACATAAATAGGATGCTACATTTTCAACTTAAAATCAAACTTCATTTAATCGCATATAAAACATGTACATAACACTTAACTCAGATGAACCGATAACAACCTGATTTATTCTTTTAAAATCAAACAACTTTTCATTGATAAGTAGCGGAATTTACACACTCAACTTCAATCCACTTAACATCTTTTACTCAACTAAAACAACTTCAAGACAACAATTATTTCATATAATCAACTTAAAAATTCAGCAACCGAAATAAGTATCAACAACTAAACATCAAGCGTTCATCCCCCCAAGTGCTACGTATCAGAGCGACGACACCGACTCGAACTAACGGGGTAACAATTATCCTTCTTGATTACCTGCACGTTACCAACAGAGGACAACATTCAAACAGAAGATGTGAGATATCAAAGTATATAATTAGTCATATGATAAATAATATATTAAATTAGATCATATAAAACCACCACTTCACACCTTACAAACAACTTTAATCACAATAAAACGTTAACACAACATAACGACTAATTCACAACTTTTAGATAATACCTGTCACAACGAGGCAACATCAAAAAGCAACAACAAATATATCATCACCACAACTCAAGATGCAACATCAAATGCGACTCAAATACAATGCACATGCAAGTGGTACCATTGGAGCAGAACTCCCATCGTAAAAACGGAGTAGAACTCCCATCATAAAAACTATCAATTAATAGAGGCATCAACAAGGCATAAGCCTTCTTTGCAGTTTGCCAATCCAGACCATCACAGAGTATGCAAATGTATGTGACTCAATGAATGCACCATCACATACTCACAACAATCATTATTCATCGCAAGACATAAGCCCACATCACCATTATTACCAGTAAATAGAGGTAATTCATCATCATTTAAAATCCTCAACAACTTCGAATTATCAACAAGAATTGATAGAGACAATCACAACAACACAACAACTTAACATAAATCAATATTGACTATAAGCCTACCACATCAATCAACGATTCAGCATCAACTCATCATAATTCAACTTTAGTCATAGGCCTACAACTTGATATTCCAACAACAACAATTAACACAACGTTGGCATAAACCTACGATTTCGTACGTCACAACAAAAATAGTAATTTGACAACAACATTAACAAGAAAACAACATTGGCTATAAGCCTAACAATTTAATACCACCTGCAATTTATATTTTTCAACAAAGTATTCAACACAATGTATTAACTAAAATAAACTACGGGCACCCCATAGATAATCCCTGATTTTTTGTTTTGTTTTATATGATACTTGATGGAAGTTATTTTGTGTAAAGAGTTTTTGCTTGCTCTTGTTACTCAAATATCTCTCTTTACAAATTTTGATAAAACGGAATTGTGGATGAGGTGCACGATTCATGAGAGAGATGAAGATACGTCTTTTTTTTCTTTCTTTCTGGTTTAAATTGAAACTGGATAAGGTGTTATATTGTCGTGTTGGCAGTAGATAGAAGCGTAACACAATTTTATTTTTTAATTATTTTAATAATTTATGAAGAAGGAATTGTCATTTATTTAGAAACAGGTTGCTTTTTCTTCGTGAAAGAGAGAAGAATTGGTCATATAAGTTAAAAGTTTAACTCTTCTTTTTATTGTTTATAAACTCATTTATTATTAGTTAATTAAATTTAATATCATCAATTACTAATTAGAATAGGAAAATGGGGTTCCGTTTTTTTTCTTTCAATTGTTAGATTTGACTTTTTTTTCAAGTTGGTTATTCTTTTTTTTTTTCTTTTCTATAAAAGTTAATTTTTGGTGAGAAAAATCAACTACTAGAAGGGATTTAGTAGTTTGTGATCGTGATCGGGAAGATGGAGGGAGGAGGAGGATACGCGTGGGCAGTGTCCGCTGGATTCAACGCCGCTCTTGCAGCCATCTTCGCAAAGCTCACCTTTCACATCGTACTTTCAATTCCCCTTTATCTTCTTCCTTCAATTTTAGGTTAAATTCATCAATCAATTAACACCCTCTTATCTGTGTATTGAATTGGTAACAGTTGATTAAGTATGGGCTGGTGGTATTGTTCAATGTAACAATGTGGTGTTGTTATGTCAACAGCCTTAGAGCCCTTTCATCTCTTCAAGCTACCGTCACAAATTTCGCTACCAATTTCATCACTTCTGGTTTAGCTGGTTTCTTCTTCTTTCATGAATCACTCTCTTTTCAGGTAACATCAACCGATATTTCTCTTTTTAATTGCAATCTTTACCTTTTACTATACCCAATTTTATAGATGATAAACCCTAATTGATAAAAATAACAAGCTAATGGGTAGTTTATGACTCATATTGATAGATGTTAGCTGATGACTGATAATGGATAGTTTGTGTTTTTTGGAATTTTTTTATCATCAGAGTATTTTGCTATGTCGTGGCAGAGGATGAGTATTCAGTGGTAGCCGCATGACTTGAAATAAGAACTACATTATATCCCATAGTCCTTAAACTATGAATCACATACGCAAATTTCATATCTAACAAAATTAACCAAGTTTGTGGGAGATGGATTATTCAAAATCTAGGTTATCATTAGAAACATCCTTTTTACCTGTCATTATACATGATATTACAAAAACGTTCGACAAATTATTCATAAAAAAAACACAATAACAAAGAAAATTATAGCAGGTATATAACCATAATCCGTTCCTGGTTTGAAAAAAATACATCAAATCCATAGCAGACTCTTTTCAAGGATACAACTCGATAGACTTTAGGCAACAACTTGCTGACTCCTCCATATCTGTTTATCATGTTGAATACGTTATATATTCTTTCTTGTTATTGTGTTTCCTTTTTTTTTTTATGAATAATTTGTTGAACATTCGTGTAAATATAGTGATGGATAAAAAGGACCTTTTCTGATAAGGTGATTTTGCTGAACATGATTACTTGGGTTTTGAATAATCCAACTCCCGCAAACATGGTTTTGATTTCATCAGACATGGACTTTGCGGATGTGATGAATAGCTTAAGAACTCTTGGATATAATGTAGTTCTTATTACACGTCGTCTTATGCAAAATACTCTGATGTGATAAAGAAGATTCCAAAAACAGAAACACAAACTGTGGATAAATTATACCAGATGACTGATAGCGGTTAGCTATGATAAGCAGACATAGAGGAGTCAACAAGTTGATTATGGGTTGTAGCCAATCTCCCCACCCAAAAAAAGGCGGTTTTCGGGCTCAGTAAATTCGGACATTTCCAAGTTATCCATTTCTGAAACTGTTTCTGAAAAAATACATCAAATCCCTAGCAAACTCTTTTAAGGATCCAACCCATAATCTGTTCAACTGATTTGAAAAAAGTACATCAAATCCATAGCAAACTCTTTTTAAGGGTACAATTCGATAAAGACTTTAGTCAACAACTTGCTGACTCCTCCATGTCTGCTTATCATGTTGAACATGTTATATGTTCTTTCTTGTTATTGGGTTTCTTTTTTTTATGAATAATTTGTTGAACGTTTGTGTAATATATAGTGATGGATAAAAATGACCTTTTCTGATAACGTGATTTTGCTTTAACATGATTACCTAGGTTTTGAATAATCCAACTCCAGCATAGCTTAAGATCTCTTGGATATAATGTAGTTCTTATTACACGTTGTCTTATGCAAAATACTCTCATGTGATGAAAAAGATCCCAAAAACAAAAACACAAACTGTTGATAAATTATAGACTGAGTTAACTATCATAAGCAAACATAGAGGAGTCAACAAGTTCTTGCCTAACATCTTTATCTGTATTTCAATCAAACCAGTTGAACGGATTATGGGTTGTAGCCTAGGGATTTGATCGATATTTTTTTTTGAAATGCAACAATTCTCCCCGCCCAAAAATGGCGGTTTTTGGGCTCAGTAAATTCGGACATTTCCAAGTTATCCATTTCTGAAACTTTTTTCTGAAAAAATACATCAAATCCCTAACAAACTCTTTTTAAGGATCCAACCCATAATCCGTTCAACTGGTTTGAAAAAAATATATCAAATCCGTAGCACACTCTTTTTAAGGATACAACTCGATAAAGACTTTAGGCAACAACTTGTTGATTCCTCCATGTCTGCTTATCATGTTGAACACGATATATATTCTTTCTTGTTATTATGTTTCCTTTTTTTTATGAATAGTTTGTTGAACGTTTGTGTAATATGTAGTGATTGATAAAAAGGACATTTTCTGATAAGGTGATGTTGCTGAACATGATTACCTGGGTTTTGAATAATCCAACTCCCACAAATATGGTTTTGATTTCATCAGACATGGACTTTGCGGATGCGATGCATAGTTTAAGAAGTCTTGGATATAATGTAGTTCTTATTACATGTCGTCTTATGCAAAATACTCTGATGTGATAAAAAAGATTCGAAAAACAGAAACACAAACGGTTAATAAATTATACCAGATGACTGATAGCTGTTAGCTATGATAGCTGGTTAATAAATTATACCAGATGACTGATAGCTGTTAGCTATGATAAGCAGACATAGAGGAGTCAACAAGTTCTTGCCTAATATCTCTATCTTTATCTGTATTTCAATCAAACCAGTTGAACAGATTATGGGTTGTAGCCTAGGGATTTGATTGATATTTTTTTTGAAATGCAACAATTCTCCCCGCCCAAAAATGGCGGTTTTTGGGCTTAGTAAATTCGGACATTTCCAAGTTATCCATTTCTGAAACTGTTTCTGAAAAAATACATCAAATCCCTAGCAGACTCTTTTTAAGTATCCAACCCATAATCCGTTCAACCTGAGTTATTAATCCCGGATAGCGGAGCGGCCGACTCCCGGGTATGGGAAAAGTGGGAATAGCGGGATCCCGGATAGCGGGATAACTTTTTGTATACTAATAATTATATAATAATCTATAAAACATATGTCATGTAATACTAAACTAATTTCACAACACTCATAAAATATTTATAAAATCTAATGTCAAACAAAAAACAATGCTTAATTCAAAACATAAAGATTCAAATTCAAACTTTGTACTATCATATGAAAATTCAAGCAAACATAGAAATCATGTAGCATCATCAAAATATTCCTCCAATTCTTCATCTTCTTCATATTCCTCCAATTCTTCATCTTCAACTTCTTCAAAATAGAAAGAAAGGATGTTTACAACAAAACAAAATAGAAGAAGTAGAAAGTAGAAAGAAAAGAAGTAGAAAGAAAAGAAGTAGAATAAGTTGAAGTAGAATAAGTTGAAGAATTAGAAGAAATTACTTGAGATGACAGAAGGAGAGTTGCAGGGAGATGGCGGCAGAACCATAGAAGGAGAGTTGAGGAATTAGGGCACGATAAAACACAGCGAATGAGGGAGAAAGAAAACAAACACTGTTTTAAAACAGAGGCATTTAAGTAATTTGGCCCAGAAAATTGTTTAAAAAAAAAAGAGAACTGGAGCCGCTCCGCCCGGGAACTTCCCGCTACCCGCTACCCGGGAACGCGGCTGAAGCGACCGCTTTTTCATCTCCGCCACCGCACCCTAAATAGTGCGCGGGGGGTGCTGCACCGCTACGGTGCGCCGCGATAGCGGCTGGAGCGCCCGCTATTGACAACTCTGCGTTCAACTGATTTGAAAAAAATACATCAAATTCATAGTAAACTCTTTTTAAGGATACAACTCGATAAAGACTTTAGGCAACAACTTGCTGACTCCTCCATGTCTGCTTATCATGTTGAACACGGTATATATTCTTTCTTGTTATTGTGTTTCCTTTTTTATAAGAATAATGTATTCTTTCTTGTTATTGTGTTTCCTTTTTTATAAGAATAATTTGTTGAATGTTTGTGTAATATATAGTGATGGATAAAAAAGACCTTTTCTAATAAAGTGATTTTGTTGAACATGATTACCAGGGTTTTGAATAATCCAACTCCCGCAAACATGGTTTTGATTTCATGTTTTTCATCAGACATGGACTTTGCGGATACGATGCATAGCTTAAGAACTCTTGGATATAATGTAGTTCTTATTACACGTCGTCTTATCCTATGCCATGACAAAGCAAAACACTATGATTTGGAAAAACGTGATAAAAAAGATTTCAAAAACAGAAACATAAATTGTTGATAAATTATACCAAATGACTGATAGTTGTTGTTAGCTAATGACCGATAATTGATAGGTTAATTGAATTTTTAAGAAAATTGTTAATTGCTCACCCCAAATTGAGCTTCCACCACTTTCATTCACTTCTCATTTTTGTTCATCACAAAATATGGGGTGTGATTACTCTCCTAAAATTTCCTCCTCCACTTTTGTTTACTCTTAACTTGCAAACAAAGTATGAATAGTTTGTGTTTGGTTATATACAACTTGTTCATTTATGTATTCTCTGATGCAAAGGAAAGTTATACAGTGGTTTGCAGGTGCCCTACTCATAATAATTGGTGTAATAATACTTAGCAACTCGAGTATTGAAAAGAAGGTTAGCTTAGATTAGATGTTGCGTTCAGCATGCTACCGTTCAAGGTTGCTTGTTAAAGGAGGAAGCTAGCATCTGCAACTATATGAACATGGATTTGTAACATTATAAATAGTATAGTTAGATTATCTGCTGGGTAATTCACCTCACATGGAACAAGCTGAACAATGTAACATCTTTTTTTTTATTATTGATTTTATTTATGTGGTTCTGTGGTGTAGTTGGTTTGAGATGAATGCCAATATTTTAGAGGCTGTGTCTTTGCTGTTATTATATTTGTATGATGTTGGTCATGTTACATGTTATATTTGGTTCTTTTCTTATAATTGAATTGGACAGAATTGGCGCATTTGTGTAAAACTATCGTGAGTTCACTTGGGGATATTCTGCACAAAATATGCATGTAATTAAACTTTCACCTGCTTTTTGGTTTTTGCCTGGCAAAGAAATAAAATCTGACCGAGCAAGGCATGTCACCATGTTCTCTTGCATGGTGGAATCCTTTTGAAGGCATATATATCATCAGAATGACAATTCTGTTTTGTCATCTTAGATTATTCACAGTTTTCAAAATATCTAGAACAATTATTGAGCCTTTATCAAAAAGATAAAGAAGTTAAGCGATCTGGATTGTAAGGGGTAATAGTGTAACGTGGAGAATTAAGATTAGACCATTATATATTCACTCTTTAAACGACGTGTTTGAACCTGTGTTTGTATTTATATTTTTGTCCAATTATCAAATGAATTAGCTTAATTTAACTAGATTCAATATTTTTTATTTGAATGTGTTTTTAAAATTTACACTTATTAACGGTGTAAAAGTTTTTCAGTGTCTATCATTCTGTTATGTCATTCAAATTACTTAAAATTTTCAGTGTGATTTGACATAATGGTTGTCATTTTATTGACTGTGTAAAACTTTTCCAAACTAAAATTATTGAGTATTGCACTTAGTAAACATATTCTTATGAAAATCAAAACGAAAAAAGTGGTTAATCAGAATCGAAATGATTAGCACCTCTCTATGGTTTTAACATACAATCACCACATTCAAAAAATATTGAGTGTTTTGTCTTAGTTCCGGTCAAATTGCAAATTGTTTAAAACCACACATACAGATGGGATATATGGCACGTTATTATAAATTTTGTGATTTTTAAGAGATTTAATTAAAACAGCTTATAATATTTAAAAAAAAAATTTAAACTTATTTTTATAAATTCTTTAAAATAACTAATTTATAATATAAGTAAAAATAATTTAAATTTATTTTATGACAAAAAAAAAATGTACTAACAGTGTAAATCAATTACAATTATGATAAGTGTCAAGCTATATTGTTATTTTAAAATAAATTATATAATATGATAAAATAATAATTTTTAATTAAATGATAGTGTAAAATGACATAATTTATGTGTGGTTTGATTAAAACAAAAGAAATGAGGAGAATAAGATGAATGCATTCTATCTTATTATCAATTTATCATTATTTATCTTACACAAAAAATTTCTTTAGTTGAGATGAAATACTTAAACAATAATGATATCTTTATTGTATTCGGTTAAATACTTATTTAGTTTTACAATATGCAAAGATACCATTATTGAGTTTATAAGAGAAAATAATTTTTAAGTTTGAAGAAAATATGAATTGATTGGGGGAATAGGGTATATGGGACGATGATTTCAGGTGGAGGAGGAGGAAGAAGTTCATCGTCATCATGGGCACCGACGACCTCAGTTTCAGCTTCGGGAAAGAGAATTCAAAGGGAAATGGTTGAACTCAACAACGACCCTCCTCCTCATTGCTCTGCTGGTCCCAAGGGTGATAACCTCTATCACTGGATCGCCACCATTATTGGTACCCCAGGTCCACCGTCTTCACCCTTAACCTAAACCCTAACTTTTATACTCAGCATATTATTTATTGAATATTTTCTATGTATTTCTTTGCAGGAACACCTTATCAAGGTGGCATTTTCTTCCTTGACATAATATTTCCAACTGATTATCCCTTTATGCCTCCCCAGGTATTCTTATTTTTCACCTTACATCCTCCATATTACACTCTTTTTTTTAGTAGAATTATTTGTAAAAGTTACATCACTGTGAAGTCTAGTTTAGGGATAGGGAAAATGCATAAATATATTTGCCTCATGCTCCCTTTTTCCCTAAACGGGGGTAGGAGAAAGCGAGTTTCACAAATCGCACAGAGGGTAGAAGCCACTGACCCACAATACCTAGAGAAAATGGCGAAAAGTCCAAAAACAAGGGGTAAAAGGGGCATTCTGCTTCGATGACCCCTGTAATCAGCATGATTTTAGGCCTCAATAGCCACCTTGTAAAATGTGACGCACCAGCTATTAGTGTCGCATCAGCGCGCGCTACTGCGATTCCACGATCACTTGTGATTGCCCCACTAATATTAACAACATAGATAGGGCTGATAGCTAAGCTGACAAGATATTAAAAAAAGATAATCTGTTGCTGTATTTAACAATTTGAAGTCTAGTTTATTAATTAGTTGCTTCTATTTGTATAAAATGCTTTTTTTTTTTTCTCTTCTTTTGAATAAATCACTGTTACCTTCCCAGTATTTTGCAATTCTTCAACTACAGTATCTATTTTTAAAGCTTATGAACCTCCTGCAACATATTAAAAAGAGAGATGTTCTATTGTGTAGAAGAAAAAGGGAACGAAAGATTCACGGAGGAAAATAGGTAGTTGGATTTAATATTTGTCAAAATAAAAGTAAATGTCATAGAAAATTAAAAGACCATCAAACGGATAGTGTATTCACATAATAATATTCTTGGAGCAATTTGCCCGCACTCCGCATTATCTTTATCCTTAGAAATGTCTTCTCTCAGATTTCCATAAACTTCGTTATTCAAAGAGTTTGATATATTTTTTAAATATAAAAGCCAATTTGCAGACAGAACAGAAAGTTTATGAGGAGGTAAGTAATTTAACTGTTTTGTGTTGGCTTGTTGAATTGAGCTTGCAGGTAGTCTTCAAAACGCGCATTTACCACTGCAATGTAGAACCTGATGGCCGTGTTAGTATGGGAATATTGAAGGATGGTTGGAGTCCAGCACTAACAATTACCAAGGTGCTACTTGCAGTTAGATCAATTTTTACAAATCCTGACCCTTGTAAGTTTGTCTAGTCTCTTGAATAGTATTTGTCTGTGTTTAGTATGACTGTTTAAATTACTGTTTTCATTTGTCTTATCTTTTGTCATTATCCTTTTTATTCTCGAAATATGTCAATTAATGATTACTTACATTGATTTCTACTATAGCCTTTTGTTCCGAATGCAAGAAAAGAGAAACATATTCTCTTGCTAACTCCCTGGCTTAGAGAAGCAGCATGGTTTAACAGAACACCAACTAATGATTATGTCTTTTGACACTGGATTCAATTACCTTATTTTCCGTTTCAAAAACACAGTATTAGTAATACCAACATTTACAATCCATTGATACTTCAAGTAGCCATTTATGATCTTGAAATGTAAAGTTTTTGTCGTCGATGCAGATAATGCTGTTGTTCCCGGCATTGCTCACTTGTATTTGGGAGACAGAGCAAAACATGATGATATTGCTGCAGAGTGGACAGTTCGTTTCGCCAAGTGAATATGATAAAGGAGTCATTTGATGGACTTGTGTTTGACAGAAGAAAGTTAGCAATTTCACACTTCTCGAGATTAATGATTTTGATTCTTGATAGAATATTATAGCGAAAGTTAATCCATATAGCCGATCTCTTTTAGTTGGTGTTGTTGTATTTACTTTATTATCCTATGAATTTCACCGTATTGGAAATCGTTCGTTGTATAGTTTGTCAATATGGTATTACTAATTAGTGTTGTATGGAAACAGATTCTCTCTTGCGTTTTTGGTACTGTCTTTTCTTCTTTTTTTCCTGTGCAATATCTGACCATTGAATTTAAATTTATTGAATCAAGTTTTTTCCACCTTTTTCTCTAGCTTGTTTATTGATTAATTTAATGGTTTGAATTTGAACAGAATGGAGAGCAGGAGACATCAAGTAAGAGATGATTCAAATCTGTGTTGTATTAAATTATTTAGAGATTCTATTATAATTTTAAAATCAAATCAACAATAAAAAGAAGTATAAAAAATTTAAAAAAGTGTTTTGTTAAATTATAAATAATATAAAATGTAAATGTCATCAAATACTAAAAAGAAATAATCATTTTTGAATTTTACTTTTCCTTTAAATACCATTAATGTTCAGATATCTATACAAAAGTTAATAACTTAATGGCACGTACAAATATTATTCTTTTCTAACATTGTCGTGAAATCAATTTTCACACATATTTTTTAAATAGTTTAATTATTATGCTTCCGAATAAAAAAAATTTACACTATCAATATATCATAATTATTCAGTTGTATTATTATAAAAAAAGTTAAAATAAAAATCAAAATTTTAAATTACTTTATATAAGTATAAAATATCTTTACAAGGCCTAATTCTCACAAAATACATGTGATTGTGTCTAATTCAAGGCCTAATTCTCACAAAATACTTGTGATTGTGTCTAATTCAAGGCCTAATTCTCACAAAATACATGTGATTGTGTCTAATTCCCCCTCGTTTCACAAGAGTTCATATATGTAACTAAAAAAATAAACAGTAATAATAATACTCTATTTTAAATAGAGTTTTTTCTAAAGATAAATTTTTTGTCAAATAATTTAATAAGTGAAATTTTAAACTTTAAAGATAAATAAATAAAATGATATTTTCCTTGCAAAGATGATATAAATTTTTTTTTCTAGCTATTCAATATAGAGTTTTAAGATAGCCATCGTTATTCACCTACCACCTCTGTAGCTATAGACAAAGTTAGGTGGGGTGAGTTGAAGTTGGAATTGGTGATCATTATTCAGAACCTTTCTTGGCTGGCACAAGAGCAGCATTGAAGTTTTGCATTGCAATTTAGAAGTTGGAAGGAAATGAGCGAGATGGCTCCAAAGAGTATAACGGAGTTGGGAGTCAACGACTTTGTTAAGGCTGGCTTACCGCCTGCTGAAGCCAACCAATTGAAAGAACTTGTGCTCTCACTCTCAGTTTCCTCCGGCGATCCCTCCGACATATGGCGCCGCATCGTCAGCCGTAGAATCCTCAAACCATCATATCCTCATCCCTTGCATCAGCTTCTCTACTATACCATCTATTCCAATCATCACTCTTCATCTTCTCCTCCTCCTCTTTACTGGTTTCCTTCCATGTAAACACACTCTTATTTTATTATTATACACAGTGCTTTTAATTATCATAGAGTAACACGTTTAGGATTATATTGAATTCATTGCTTCAAATGTATAGATTGTTGGAATAATATAACAAGTGTGAGTAAGTGGAGAAATAGTCTCACATTGGATAGCAATGTGGAGACTTAAGCATATATATAAGTGGGAGAACTCACTCACCTATCACCTTAAGATTTTAAATAGATAAGTGGTGTGTCTCTCACAAACTCTCAATTTTGAGCTGTTTTTGAGGCAACATTTTTGTGTGCAGAATTCGTGTCCCTGAATACGTTTGAGCGTAAAGTTTCAGGTTAATCCAATTATATTTTTAACTTTTCTTAGGCTTTAAGAAAACAACTTAGAGCTGTTGTAGAAATCATAGGTCAGGTAGGAGTTTGAATCTGGATTTTTGCACACGAGTTTCACATACCAGAGGGGTCCAAACTGCATAGTTTGAGGAATAAATGGAACATTGTGTTGGTTAGTCAAAATTAGAAGTTTCGTGAAGGTAGGTGAGGCTGGTGGGGAATACATAAAGGCGAGAATATATGAAATTTAATGTAAACTGCATAAAATTTAGATACACTGAATGTAGAGAGCCTAGTTTGTTCAGTTACGTTGCAAATACTAATTCAATGAAAGTTAGAGGATCCTATTCAATGAAAGCTTGATATATGTTTCATGTTTCACAATATCTTAAATGTCAATTTAATTTCATTATAGTTAGAATGATCCAAGAGACTTCCTCTTAATTAAGCAATGTATGTTATTCTTGTTAAATGGGAACAACACATTATAAGACTTGACCACTGACAAATATCTCAATTCTTTGGCAATGGAAGATTGTGAGAGACACTAGTTGGTGTGGGAAGAGTGTAGTATACTATGTGCCATACTTGAGGGATTCCTCTTGTTGAAATATAAAACTCTAATCCAGCCATACTTTCAAATAAAAGACATGAACTTCAAACTATTTGATTACACTAAGAAATATAAATACTTATGTGAAAATGAGACAACCAAACACCCAGTCCTAATGAAAGGCTTACGCCAAGAGAAATAGAGACAACCAAACACCTTTGGTTTTGACAGATTTGGACTTTGATGAAAAAGCTTGAGGAATGGCTACTACATTCTAAAATTTGGCATTGGAACTTGGAAGGAGGTCTATTGATTATATCGGCAACTGTTTGTAATGAAAATGTCTAAAATAATAGAGATAGAGATGATTGATGCATCAAATAACAGGCTGTTTCCAATAAGTGATGGTGTTTGCGTTCTGATATATGAGATTACAAAGGCATATATAGATACATGAGATGAGAGAAAAAAAAGTTGTTACAACATTCCTCAAAGCTTAAGGAATTCATATTTGAAATTCAAACTAAATTTGACAGCTATTATGTGTATTCCTTGTTCATGTATTTATTTATTGGTGGTTTCCACATTTAGAGAGCAGGCAAGACACACTAACCTGGGTCGGCTCATGGAAATTCATGGTTCTCAGCTTTTAGGAGCATCCTCCTACAAGGATCCTATTACCAGCTTTCCTCTTTTTCATAAATTTTCTGTCCAACACCCCGAGGTAAGTGAAAGTTAGTTCCCTTTTGTCTTTACATTTTCTTTCTATTTCTCTAATTTCAACCTGTTATATTTGTACTGCATTGCACTGCAGGTGTACTGGTCTCTTGTTCTCAAGGAACTTTCTATTTCCTTTGTTCAACCTCCAAGTTGCATTTTAGATACATCTTCTGACCCATCAAAACACGGAGGAACCTGGCTTCCTGGTTCGGTCCTTAATATTGCTGATTGCTGTCTGCAACCCAGCTCCCACCCAAACAAACAAGACGACAGTGTAGCCATTGTTTGGAGGGATGAAGGTTTTGATGACTCTGAGATTAATCATATCACTCTCAAACAACTTCGTCAGCAAGTCATGTATGCTACCTCATGCGTCTCATGTCTCACCTCATCCTTTTGGTTTTTTTATCGTTTTTGCCAATATTATTTCCAGGTTGCTGGCGAATGCAATAGATGCCAATTTCTCCAAGGGTGATGCAATTGCAATTGACATGCAAATGACAGTCAATGCTGTGATTATATATCTAGCAATTGTTTTAGCAGGATGTGTTGTAGTATCAATAGCTGATAGCTTTGCACCAAAAGAAATTGCAACTCGCCTCCGTGTTTCCAATGCCAGGGGTATTTTCACGCAGGTGTTTGTCTATATTTAGTACTGAGTACAACGTTACTTTAAAGCTATTAGTAAATTCTTTACCAGTTTCTCTGCAGGATATCGTTCATTTTGGTTTAACTTTTTTCAGGATTTCATAGCAAGAGGTGGCAAGAAATTCCCTTTGTACAGGTACAAAATTGTTAGCATTATACTCATCGTGGCCATATTTTACCATCACCGCTATGATGTTTGTCTCTATTTATCTGTTTAGAAGATGATAATTGACATCTTCAGTTTTACTAGCCAATCGTGTTTTCTATTGTTCTTAACTTCAATTACTATTGCCAATAACACTGGATAAATAAATGTTTCAATAATTTGTACCTCTTATTATTGCTGATGAAGACTCTCTGTGTTCGAGCATGAATATAAATGCTGGGCTATTTTGGGACAAATGATAGTCTATTCTTGTGTTATACTTTCTTAAAATTTTGATCTGTACACACTTTCCTCAGCAGATATATGTTAGAAACAAATGCACAACTATATCTCATTAACCAAAGTTTTGTATTCTAGATGCTTGAGTGCATCTCAAACTATTTTACCATGCAAAACTTGAATAGTTGAAAGACCTTGGGCTTCTTGAAGTTGTTTTTGAATTTAATATTGTTCTTTTTATAAGTAAACCACTGACCTCATTATGCATATTTTTCTTCCAGTCGAGTTATCGAGGCAGCTGCATGCAAAGTTATTGTGCTCCCTGTAATAGGCAACGATGTAGGAATAAAATTAAGAAAACGTGACGTTTCATGGAATAGTTTTCTTTCTTCTGGCAAACAGCATCCAAGGTAATGTACTTTAGAATGGTAACTTTTCATATAGACAAATGGTAAATTTTCCTTACTAAGCTAGTTAGAATACAAAAATGCATAGTTTCTCTTCTGTTTTGTCTCGCCTTCATGTTTAAATCTTGGCAGGTCACATAATTACTCTCCAGTCTATCAATCAATTGATTCTGTCACTAACATACTTTTCTCATCTGGAACCACAGGTAAATATTCTCCCTTAAAATATATCAACTATGGACTACTATTATAATGATTTCATGTTCCATTTTCACACTTCAGGGGATCCAAAAGCAATTCCTTGGACTCAACTTTCGCCCATACGAAGTGCCGCAGATGGATGGGCTTTTATTGATGTTCAACCAGGTGATGTCTATTGCTGGCCTACTAATTTAGGATGGGTGATGGGACCAACTCTTCTATATTCATGCTTTCTATCTGGTGCAACTCTTGCGCTGTACCATGGATCTCCACTAGGTCATGGTTTTGGAAAATTTGTTCAGGTAACGTGAACGAGTGTTCTGGCTAAGGAAACACAAAAGAAAATATTACCAAAGCAGCCATGATTTATTTAACTACAATTGTTCAGGATGCTGGTGTTACCATTTTGGGAACAGTTCCAAGCTTAGTAAAAACTTGGAAGAGTACACAGTGTATGGAGGGCTTAGATTGGACAAAGATAAAGTAATGTCTCCTAAATTTAAATACTCAATTCACTCATGTGAGCAATGAATTAAACTGTGGTTATATGCAGGACATTTTGTTCGACCGGAGAAACTTCAAATGTTGATGATGACCTTTGGCTTTCTTCAAAATCTTATTACAAGCCCATAATTGAATGTTGTGGAGGCACTGAACTTGCGTCTTGTTACATCATGGGGAGTCGACTACAGCCTCAAGCTTTTGGAGCATTTAGCACACCATCAATGACAACTGGTTTGGTCATCCTTGATGAAAATGGAGTTCCTTATGTAAGATTTTATGCCGCCACCTTCTATATAAATGTTCATTACGTTGTATAATATAAATCTTATCTTTTGGCATCATTCTAATTTATTTGATATCTTGGGCCAATATGACAGCCAGATGATGTTCCCTGTGTCGGTGAAGCGGGCTTATTCCCGGTATATCTGGGAGCAACTGATAGATTGCTTAATGCCGATCATGAGGAGATCTACTTTAAGGGAATGCCCCTTTACAAAGGAAAGGTATATACTTTAATTAGCATTCCTACTGCCAATGTGACTAATGACTTTCACATTTTGATATAGCAATTTTGAAGTATTAGTTATGTGAAAATATTGTGATTACTAAAACACATTCTAATGGCTTTTTAAGAGCCCAAATAAGTTGGTTCGTTACATCCTAAATGCTTTTTGAGGTATTAGTTCCAAGTACATGTAGACACCGGCTAAATTGCACGTAGAGAATTCAAATCAAGTACATCTGATGTATTTTATATCAGCAGATTCTTAGGAGACATGGAGATATAATCAAAAGAACTGTAGGAGGCCATTTCGTTGTACAAGGGAGGGCTGATGACACCATGAATCTTGGCGGAATAAAGGTATTATTCAGCCTTCTTACAGGTTGAGTGTATTTTGTTGTGGATTTTACTCTAAAGTAGCAATTCACTTCAACTGGTAATGAATGAATCGGGTTGATACTTTTGCACTTTCCATTAATGTTTTACGGCTTTCAAAAAAATTCTGTATTAACATTGCAGACAAGTTCTGTAGAAATTGAGCGTGTCTGTGATAGGGCCGATGAATGCGTTTTGGAGACAGCCGCAGTCAGCATTGCTCCTGCAAATGCAGGTCCAGAACAACTGGTTATACTTGTAGTTTTAAAGAACGGGTACAATTCCGATGCGGAAACTCTAAAGAAGATATTCTCTAAGGCCATTCAAACAAACCTCAATCCTTTATTCAAGGTCAAACTCTCAATGTCATTTGCTACTTTATGGAAAACATTATTATAGCAATAGCTTAAATGTCACAGACTCATAAAATCTTGAGTTTTGAATGGAAATTGAAATTTTAATCTGACTTTGTGATTATAGATTTGATGTTAACAACTCTTTTTGTTACTATTACAGATAAGCCTTGTTAAAATCGTGCCTGCGTTTCCTCGAACAGCTTCCAACAAGTTACTGAGGAGAGTTTTGAGAGATCAAATGAAACATGAGCTATCAGTTCATAGCAGACTTTAGTGACACTATTAACTTGCAACAGGACATGCATCAAGATTCATTTCATATGCAAATATTATGATGATAATAAATAATATTCAGTATTACAAATTACAATGTCTTTACCAGCAAGACATTGAGATTGAATGAAGTTGGTTAGTGAATGAACTGATACCTGGTTATTGCATAAGAGGTTTTATATATGCAAGAAATAATAGGGAATTTCTTTGTACACCCTTACACTTTCTTAGTCATCTCTAGTGAAATTTCTTTTTTATCCCCAGAATTTGGAAATGTATCTCCGAACGCACCGTATTTCATTTTTCTGGGGTGATTTCGGAGATGCATTTCTGAAGTTACGGAAAATCTTTTTTTTTTTGGTGAGTTCAGAGATGTTTCGAATACATCTAATGAACTATTTTGGAAGTACATTTCCGAAATAAACACCGACCGATATAAAAAACAAAAAGACCTTGAAACATAGAGACACCAAAACAAAAACCTTGAAACATAGATATAACATATAAGCTGAAACATTGATATTACATAAACAATAACATAAATTAAACATTGAAAGTTGAAATTCATAGATATTAGAACATAAATTTAACATTACATATTGTTAATAATGGGTAACTGAGGATGTTACAACATTTTGATAACATCTTCAGCGGATCTTTGAACTTTTGCATCCAACTCAATCGAATCCTTAGTAGAGTATTGGCGAAAACTACTCCACATAACCTGTAAATCGTCATCTGTCTTCAGTTAAAACTTGGTGAACTTGACCTTTCCATCAGTGTCAAGTGATCGTGAACGATATTCGACCTTGACTACCCTCATATTTTCTTGATATTGTAAGAGAGAGTTGAGTATGGTAATGAGCTCGACAAAAGACGTATCCTCGCAGAACCTAAACTAAAGTGGCGATATTGCACCGTTGAAGTACACAAAAGCAAGGTGAAGATATGTTTGTGTCATATCTAATTTGTGGTGTGTGATATCTGATTTGTGGTGTATGATGTTGAAGAAAAGGTTTAGGACACCTTATTTATAGAAGTTTTGGAGCAATGTGGTCATAAGAATTCTTATCCCGTGTCAGGGAATTTTTCGGATATACACTTCCGAAACAACCCCTAATATTTTTTAAAAAAGAAAGGTGTTTTCGGACCTCGGACCTCTACTCACAATAAGTTGTTTATAACATTAATTGTATACCTGCTTGATATTTGAAACATTTTGTGGTCGTTTCTGTTTAAAATCAGCAAGTATGTTTCTCGGCGCAACTTTGATTATCGATATTTCTGAAATAATTTTCTTCTCCTCCAGCTTAAGTCTATTTACAATTGGATGACCTTGTAGCTTGGTGTCTAATGCATGATTACGTTTACCGGAAATGACAGAAAACCGCCACGTATCATCCACACTACATGATCCACGCAATTTGAACTGACACTCACATTTTCTCGATCCAGTGTCATCATGTTTTAAATTCCGATCTTTTGAAACATATTTTCCACTTCTCTCGCATCTCATGGTTACAAATGCTTGCCTTCTACTGGTGCCATTGCCAGGCCTTCCAATCACATCACCAAAGCCGAGTTTGCTAGCTTTCATTCGGACATAATCAAGCAATTGTTGCTGATTATTGAAAACTTGATCATTTGCAAATTGGTGTCCAACATCTATGTCGACAACAATCGATTTAACGTCGTTCATCACCTCATTCGGCTTAGCATCCGACTTAGCATCATTATTCACGTTGTTCGAATCATCCTTGGGAAACATGTCGGGATGCACCATCTAACACGGACACAAACATATAAATTCTTAATAATTTTGTTTCTGTAGTAGGGGAAGTTTCAGAAATATATCTCTGAAACAAGTTAAGTGGATTTCGGAAATACATTTTCGAAGCGATGCAGTTTTGGTCTCAAAAATCAGCATCAATGCAAGGAATTTAGAGATGAAATGAAGAATTTTTATCTTAAATTGCAGCTTTCTATGCTCTCGTTGACATGATAAACCACTTGAAACTTATTTTGGGGAAGAAAAATTGATTGAGTATTTGGTGAGGTTTTGGGCTTTGAGAAGAAAATGAACACAATGAAATAGTTCACGCAGCTGGTGATATAACACGCATATTTTCGAAAATGCACTTCCAAAAATATACATGTATGTTTAAATTTAACGTTTCACTAGAAACAAGGTATGTTCGGAAGTGCATTTCTGAATTTACCCTAAAATGTCATATTGGGTGCGTTCGAAAATGCATCTTCGAAACACCTAGACTTGAGGTGCGTTCGGAAATACATTTTTGAAGGGTATTTCAGAAATTCAGGGGTTTTCCCCATCCCTTAGACGTGTACAAAGAAATTCCCAAATAATATCAGTATCTTTTAGTGATTTAGTTATATTATATATTTGTAGTGATTATTAGAGTATCTTTTCAAGAAATTTGTGAAAAATATTCAGAATTAAATATATAATTAAGTAACTTAGAATATATTATAAGCTTCTGAAGGTGACTTTAGTCTTAGTGGTAGCAACTGCAACCGTAGAATGCGTTTTTTCAACTATGAAGTTTGTGAAGAATCAACTATATAACAAAATGAGTGATCAATGGTTAAATGATCGTCTTGTAACTTTTATAAAAAGAGATGTTCTTGGAACAAATAACAATAATGTTATTTTAGCTCATTTTCAAGAAATGGATAGCAGACGATTTGTATTATAAATGTACTTCATCAAACAATATTATTTTTTCTTTTAAATATAATTTATTTCATGTTTAGCCAACTAATATATAATAACTGAATCTGCCCCTGGTGCCACATCGAAGATTTCTATTTCATTGACTTCGACAACCATATGTTAGACTTCAGCCTCTAAGGCCACTTTTAATCTATTTTCGGCTATGTAAGCTGAAATTCACTGTAACACGTTGAATCAGACATCATTGTCGAATTCGCTTCCCTAGCGAGTCGGCCGGATGGTATGATCACTTCCAACATCTCCCATTATTTCCCTATCCCAAATGAACCCATGGGTGGGATGGAGTGTAAGAGAGTAAAATTCCTCTTCAAGAGGCATATAAGCAAAACTCACATTTCTCGACGCAGTTCTTCGAAGTAGTTAATTTCGGAGGAAGTACCTATAAAGTGTTAGAAAAACCAAGTGTAGTGTGTGCAGGTGTACCACGAATATGGGTGAGAAGATCTTGCTCAACTTGATCAAACTCATCATCTGTCTGACCACCCTCATTATCCCGCGCAGGAATGTCATTAGGAGTAATATGGCCTGGTTCTGGGGTGGTCAGATCATAAATCTAAGTGGATCTGTCTTGCACGTTAGTATGGGATGGACATAGTATAATAACGCTCCTCACCTCACAATTTCTTGCCATAAAAAGTATCTGCTATCTGACCTATTTTTAATCAGGCGCATATTTCATCAAGAAGAGATATCAAGGCGGGGTGTTTGTAAGGGCTATAAGGTTGCAAGTTCGGCATATAAACCCATGACACGATCTATGAAGGTGATTAGTCCTCCCACTTTCTAGATTAGGATTTCCTGTTTTCTAATTAAGATTTCATTTGCTTTCTAATTTAGGATTATTTTTTCTAATTTAGGATTATTTTTTTGCTAATTTAGGATTTATTTTTTTATTTTTTTTCAAGCTACCAACATAAAATAAAGCGCTGCGTGGGAGGAAACCCACAATTTCTACTTCAATAAAGTTATTTCAATTTTGTCTCAATTTATTTTTATTACTTCTTTTGATTTTTAGGCCAAGTTCCAAACTATGATACAAATTTACAAAATTTTGCCTTAAAAATCAAGTGGAACCTTTAAAAAAACACTTTCTACCCCCTGAAGCATCAATAATAGCACATTTAGGCCCATGACATTTGCCATGTGTGGGTGATGTTCGCCATCGGCATAAGTAAAAAATAGAAGTTTTTAGGTCCATGGCGTTCGCCATACCCCCGTGGCGTTCACCATACACCAGAAAGTGGCGAAAATCCGAATTTAGATTGTTTTCTTGTGCGAATCCCACTAAAACCACCACCCAACAATCATAACTCTCTCTACTCCTCCACTCATACCCACTCTAACCTGTCTCCAAACCTCCAAACTTCCTTATTCTCCATTCCTAAACCACCACTCCTCTATTTAACCCTCATTTCTCCACCACAACAATCTCTATTCCTCTACTCCATAATTTCACTCAACCATAAACCCACCTCTATTTCCAAAGACTTCCACAATTCCTACAAGGATGAAAGACCACTAATTGATTTAATGGACATCATATTCAGAGAAGGAGCAGATGGTAAAAAGTAGAAGAAATAATATGTTAAGTTGTTCAATCGAATAGCCATTCTGATGAGGTATACCGACGAATCCTGTTTTTTTAGTTTAGGATTGCTTGGTAGTGTATGTTGGATGTTGGATATGTTAGATTTAACCCATTTATGTGCACTGAGTGACCCCACCTACACAAGTTTAACACTATAATTTTTTAGTTCTATACCGTTAAATTCAGAATGTTTAACAAATAATATGAGCTGAACCAGGATTACATTTCTGACCTCCTACATTTTCCCCATGGGGATGGTATAGCATGCAAAGGACCTTTAGAAGGGGCATGACAACTTGAGGCCTTCCGTTTTTGGGAACACATGACAGCTGAAACCACATCTGATTTTGAGGGGTTGGAATCCACACAAATTCATGACCCGATCATACATTATTTACACTGTATATTGGAAAACACTGTATTTGGCCGAGTAAATAACGAAAAGGTGAACTCTAAGGAGTTGTTTTTTATGCATAGTGTATTTACACATATGCGAATAAAAATAGCCCCATCATGTTTTTGGCGATGTTGTCCGGGACCAATTTAGTCAATATCATGACTTCGTTGTTGTGCAATATAGACTAAGGCAAGATTTTTATTTACATCACTAGGTTGTATGCCAAATACTCGTGCCTCAGAGGACGAGCTAGCACAACCC